GCTTATCATCAATCATGAAAAAATGATACAAAATTACATTACATTCAATTGCATGCAAATGAAATTGTAAGTTGCATAGAAGGAAAATAACATACAATGTAATCAGTAAGCATCAAATCAAATTGACAAATATATACAAATTAGTAACTGTTTATCTCAATGTATAAAACGTCTTTTATCAACTTAATTTAATGTCTTTTAATTGATAATATACGTAACATTAGGTATAAGGAAAATACAGTCACTGCATTATGTTATAAAAAAATAAAAATGTTAAAACTTAAAATGCATTTTGATGTAATATATGATATGTTATGAGCAAGAATAAAGGTGTTTATTTCCCCTTCATCGGATGAACGAGCTATTTGTAAAGTTTTTACTTATGTAACTGGTCACTGGCCAGTATGGGGTTATATGTTATTAATTTGCTAATTTACAAAATTGCCCGCTACTGCAGTACGTATAAATGATTCACTTTTATGATTCATCGAACATTTTTGATTAAGGAGAAGAATTTTCCCTATCACCTCTTGTTCTGACAAAGCAAATTGCTCACAGTAACAAAGGCTTCCCATTTACGGATGCTGTAATAAAAAAATATTTATTTGGGAAAAATGAGAAATATGATACTTTTTCGAAACATAATTCTTCTGAACAAACTGTAAAAGCTTCTTCGCAATAGAAACTTATTTGTGAAGTACCCGTTCATTTGAAATAAAAGTTGATAATTGCAAATCAAGTCACATAAAAATGAGTGTCAGTAGATTTTAGATAGTAAGGAAATATTCTAAGATCTATTACGTTCCTTTGTTTATGAATATGTTAAAAAGTATATTAATAATTTAATCAGATATGAAAAGATAAGACAATCTAATATGATCTTGCATTCTTGCATCTCAAAACATTCTGCATGCTTGATATACAAGATATAAATTTGGTATAAGTACAATTCACTGTTAGCTAACTTCAAGTAAAAGGTTATGTGTCTGCTGTTTGTAAACATAGCTGCAATCTTTAACAGAAAGTCTCAATGCATGTTGCTTAGCACATAACAATATTATGATATGAACAAATGCATTTGTGCAAGAGTTAACAACAACCTCCCGGAAGAAAACAAAATTATCTACTGCACTTGGTATTATGCGCAGTTCGGATTGTATTTTATTTGTTGCACTTCACAACCTGGGAAACTTTTAGAGCAAGTTCCTATTAGAGAAGATGCATAAGATATATCCAGAAAACTTCTTCGACATTCATAAGAAAATTATAAAGGGGCATTGTGTCCATCTCTTCATTGTTAAGTTGAGCTTAAATAGTTATAAAGTTAAAAAGATTCCCTATTATAATGGTCACTGATCTAAATTAATAATAAGAAAAATGGTTGGGATAAAATACAAAACATTGCTTAAAGTATAAATAGTCAATTTAGTTTGTACCAATTTATTTTAGTCCGATTGTGTTCGATTGTGTTGGAAGCTTTAAGGTTATTGAAACTAAGTCATTTGTTTGACTGGTGCTTATAAGATTATATGTAATTTACTAATATCATATAAATGATTCACGAATTCATACAGAATGGCCCATATACTTTTGCAAATGATTCATCGAGCTTGTATGATAAGGAGAACAAAATGTTTCCTATCACTTTCGCAATGTGAGAGCACAGTGTGTTATTTAGAATACCTTCTTTTGTCACAATAAATTGAGTGGATGGTGTGTCACACATTATTGTTATGGTCAATTAAAAAAAAAACATTTGATGCATTTTACATATGAAATAACATAAGCATTTATTCGACTTTATAGTCTTTCTAAATGTATAATGTAAAAACATTTATAGTAGAAATTTTTCAATCATGTAACTGCATCAATTAAGAATATTAATAATTGTAAATGTTTCCTTCTTTTAAAATGTATTATTAATGTCATCTTTGTCCAATTCGGTCAGAAAATAATCAAAATAAACCTGCAATACGCATTCGGTCAGAAAATACTCAAAATGAACCTGTAATCCTTCATATTTTCAACAAAAATTGTTTTCAAAATTTTAAATACATGTTACATGATGTTGTAAATGAGGTGTACTTACAAGTGCACAATCATAAACAAGTATACATAGTTGGTAATCTTACAAAAGATCAAAGGGGTTTTAATTGGTTATCTTATTTCTAATGTATTGATATACGTGACGACAATCTTTTTCGGTTGATAATAGAAGAGAACGCTCAGGTTGACAATACAGTATTCAACAGAATTCTTCAATATATTTACTTGACTTGTCTAATCACATCCGTTACAAACAAAATTTACCCTAATGTTTTGCGTACAAAATGATGATTTAAACTTTCAAGGAAAAAGTATAAACAATGATATTAACGTTTTATGATATGTATTTTAAAACACAATTATTGTTCAAAAACCTCAAACAGATGTATATAATTAGTTATCTCGTAATCTTACGAATGATCAATGATCATTTTAATTGTTTATCTTAGATAACGTATATTGCGGAAAGCTAACCTCAAACTTGTATCATTTTTTGTTGTTGTTTTTTTCACAAGCGCAGTTGTGTTAAACACATAAACAATCTGCCTTGTGACGGACGAGACACTTTTCTCAAGAATGTTATACTTGAGCGAAATACAAGTTATTCTTGTATATGTTACCATATATTTGTCTATATTAATATGTATTAGTTTTTCCTCAAAATGTCAAGACCATCTAACTTCCAAGTTTTGTTAATTCAGGCCTACATATAAGATAAATTATAACATTAATTTGACAAATAATGATTATAAGGCAATTAAATATCAATTAACAAAGATTTAAAGTTACAAAAAGGATACATTTTACATGATATCAAGTTTATTGCAATTGTGGTAGAGGTAATACAACATATATCACAAAGTGTAGGTTTTTATGCTCACAACAGTGTTGTTTGTGCCGTGTGGCGGCTGTAAAAAGTATCCCCGTACATGCAATCAATGTTGTTATATTTTCATCCTCAAGGGATTGTTCGGCATTCAGTGTTGGTATCCCCCTCCATGTCCAGCCTTCATAGACTAAAGTTCTTGTTGCTGGGTCGTGTGGGGGTTGCGTTCATTGAACGCCGCCTTTCCTTGTTGATCTTGTTTATCATATTTTACACTTGATCCATCCTATGTAATATTATCATGATTTTCGTATGTATTAGGGGTGTCCGTTGCCCGTTGGCGAGCGGTTTTAATGTCGTTGACTTCAAACCACTTGCTCCTCACAGCTGTGGGTTCGAACCCCGCCATGATCTTTGGATTCTTTTTGGAATCTATCCAGCTAGTTTACGGAACGTCAATGATTCTACTCAGGGATCCGTTCAAAACTGAAATATTGCACTGAGGGACATTTGAGATCTTCCTTCCCAAGTAAAGCTGGAAAGTCGCCATATGAACCCTGCTGTTTTGTGCGACGTAAAGTCAAACTAAAAAATACGTATAGAACACTTTTTAAAATAATTCAATGTATGTCGTCTATCAGCTGAATGACTTTCGGTGTTATATGTCCAAAATAGTGTTGGTGCGCAAGCATCAATAGAATTACAATAATACTTGATGGATAAGAGCGGTCGCTGAACTGCGGGAAAAGTTAATGTTTGATACAAATGTTCTTTACAATCCCTTTTTGAGATTTATAATGGTTGCAAAGTCATTATTTTAACACCAATTCGATTATGTTACGATTTAATTATTTGTGAAGCTGTGTCATCATTTGAGTCACGGAGCAGTAGGTGTTAATAATTAGAATGATGAAAATTAGAATGACGTTATATTCAATATAAACATCTGCATGATGGGGAAGCAGTTAAGTTTACATATATACTTTTTCATCTAAATAAAATGGAAAAAAGAACTTATCAATGCTCTGAGAAAGAAAGTCATTTTAATTTATAAATTTTGAAACGCGTTGATTATTTTCTTCTTTTTTTACGTAGCATGAAAAAGGTTGACATTTGACATTTCTATCTATGTATCAAATGATTTCAAAGTCATTCAACGTGCATTCTTCGAAAGACAATTATTCTGAGTTTTTAGCAAAATTATGATGAAAAAATATTATTGGTTTCTGAGTTCATGTATATAATTAAATCGTAGGATTATTAAATTGACAATCTTCCATGAATAGATCAAATCGAGCCAGCATCATTTTCAATTTTTTCCCGCTTTGGGTGTTCTTTAGGGGTTCTGCTTTTCTTATGAATTTTAAACTACACATTTACCCTTTAAAACTATTTTTCAAGAACAAACTCAATCAAACAGTGTTTGCAATTTTCATATCTATCATTTTGTTGTTTTTATTGGTTCTGAGAAATCTTGAAGTTCCCTTTTCCAGATAGCCGTATTTCCGTATAGCGTTTGTTATTCGACTTATCAAAATGAAATTATGTCATTTTTATGACTTTCTTCCTCCACCATTTATTTTCTGTAAAGTTTATATTCAAAGAGTCTAAGAATAATAAAAATGTTGGAACTAAAAGAAAAAGATTCGTAGAAGCTATTTGATGTTACACATTTTCATTTTTTTTTTCTTCATTCATCTTGATCTAACATAAACATTATGTTTCAAAAAGTAAAAACTTAAAACTGAATTACTTCATATATAAATTACTTAAACGATAAACTTTATAATTCCCCAGAACTTCAAAAAGCCGTGTAAAAATACTTTAAATATTAATCATATTTTTAGAAATCAATTCTAATTACTCCTTTACTTTAAATTCATGAAAATATATATTGAAAGGCAAATCTGGGGAATAGTTCGACACCTTGAGACGACATCTAAATTACCCAAAACGTTACTTGAAACACAAGTAAGAAAACGAGTAAATTTTTAAGCTTATTCATATTACGCTGTAGGTGTACATTTAACGATGCACTGCGGTTTTTGCTACTGTATAAAAAGGAGACGGTGTATGTAATCGTGATTTAGTTACATTAAAATAATCTCACAGCTCGGAGGTAGTAACGTTGTTTGTAGAATAACTGAGTTTAATTTTGTAGAAAATTTATTTTTTCTTGATGAAATACAAATTGCGATGGGAATATTATGAAAATACATATTTATTAAACAAAATTTGAAACATGATATTTCCAGATGGTTAAGCAAGTGCTTTTTTCGTGTATACTTTTAATCATTATTGTTTTAATTATGTAGTTCATTTAAAGATAAAAGAGTCACGATCACATTTCTTTTATTACGTTAATAAATAGTTGTACATATTTTCGGTGCACTGTTTTACTCTGTGAATAAAGGGCTAAGAGAGTTTTGTGCAACGCAAGCGTACGAAAAACTGGGAACTTCTAAATTCTGATTTTTGTTTTACTTGGAAATTACATAAGCTGTTCCTGGAGCATTTACTAGAACATGATGATTGCGGATAATGTGAAAGTCGTAGTGTTTGTTATTCTGGGACTTGTTATAGGCGAAACATTTGGATTATATTTAACAAAGAAAAAGCCAAATAGTTTAAGTGCAATTTTTCATGAGAAAAACCTGTCAAGTCGAAAGAAAAGGGACAATCGTTCAGATTATCCGTGAGTTTTATTTCTCATGTATATTTATTTTTTAACTTTAGTGTGGCAAAATTACAACTTTTTACTTGGCACCCTTTAAATAATAAAAAATGATTTATGACTGTAAATGATTGACAAAAATGAAAAGTAAATTAAACACGATTTTTTCTGTATTTATGAAAGGTTGAATAAGTTTGATATATTTTGATAAATTACTATTTAAAGTTGTAGTCCAATATTTAAGCATATGTAATTTTTCAGGTCTGTTCACCATTATGCCAGACATGCACTGTGTCGAACATACAAGGGTAAACAACATTTATACAAAGCAATGAAGAAAAAGATATGTGGAATGACATGTAAGAATCTTTTTATAAAATAAAATGATTTACCATTTTCTGACTTCAAAAGAATTTTTTCAGGTATATTGCTTAGTAAGTTAATATCTAATCGAATAAGAGAGGTTTGAAATGCTATTGTGTTTATTAAAAATTCAGATATTCATTGATTGCTTATTTAACGTTTGGCGTTTTTTAGGTTAATTCAAAATTTTACAAAACTTCTAACAGATAAACGCGGTCACTATTTTCATAACTACTCATGAAAGTACTGAATACTTAAAAGTAAATACAAAATCCTTTTATCTTTGCAATATGGAATGAACAATAATCTCTTTATTGACACAGACTAACTGTAAGATAAATGTTGGAAAGTTTACAATTTCCTAAAGGTCCATTATTTATATGTCTCATGAACTTAACCAATGAAAATACCTTTTATATAATCTCTAGATTTAAAAACATTCGGTAACATAGTCGTTATTTTTATTTCAGTGTCCTTCATAGCAAGTTTGGTGATTGATCTTTGTCGTCATAAAAACGCGATGCTAGATACCTGGGTAGCCGGACTGTTTGATGTTGATGGTAAAATTTGCTTCTATAATTATTTTATCTTACCTTTTGAAATAAGTATATTTTCATTTATTGTTTTCTATATATAACATTTTGATTAGGACTGTTTTAATTCATATCGAATGCACATAACTGAAGTGTAAATTATACTAGTAATAAAATAAGTATGTTTTACTTAAACACATTCGGGAAACAACATCATTTACATCCACTTAAAGGAGTTTTAAAAACTTGCTATGCCAAGACATCTTAAAGGAAATTGGTTTGTGATAGGTCTGTGATACTTTAATTTATTATATAAATAGTATTTAGTATCAAACATAACAGCGAACCTTGAAATCATTATACTTAAAACTTTTTGGCAAGTTTGATACATGATCTGATATTACATATATCTTATAGTATAATAAAATTATAATAAAATGCTTTTGAATAAAATATTATTATTTGTTCTATGGGTGTTCATACTAAATCATTTAAAAAATTTCAAGTAATATTTCATAAGACTATCACATTAATACATGTCTTTGTGTTGATCACTAATTGAGATACTAAGGAGAATGTGCTCATTGTAGACAAGTCCACTTTTATTATCAATATATCTTAGAACCACGAAAGAATTATCCCTGTATTTTCATACTTTTAGTATGGCATTCTTTATTCCTGTCGACCTAAGGCAAAAGATACATAATATATATATCCTTACTATCAATGAAAGTTGTATCCCACTTTGGTTAAAAAAAATGCACAGTAGGTGATATTATTGAAAGTGAAAAAAAATGATGATCAGTCAAAACAAAATGTTGCTGATGCGCGTTATCATAAATCTCCAATTCATTCAGTTATTTAATTATGACAATACATATGGCATACGACCAAGATGTCTGTGAAAAATAATATAATTAAAAACTCGTTTTGATAAGAAGATTTATTTTTATGATACAAATGTATTTGTGTTTGAAAATGAAAAAATGAATGTAAAGTCATTTAAGTAAAAACGCATGTATTAATATAATATTCAGGGTAGTCACTTATATTAGTAAGTTACTAAATGTCCATGTGTTTTGTCTTGTATAGGTGACGGGCAGATAACTCATTTTGAGCGTAATGTGTATAGCTGAGAGAAAATTCACAACCGCAAATTCATTAGGAGGTTTTTGTGCAGGAGTAAAACTCATGAAGCCATAGGACATGAATGTGATGTAATTTATCGTATGGTACGCAAATGGAAAATGTCTCTGATTGCAGTGATTCAAACCAAGTCTCCTGAAATTTACTGCATAGACAGAATTCTTTGCATTACATTCTTTATGATATTCAGTATTATTACTTTTGTAGATCTAAAAGCAAAATGTATGCTCCAAGTTTAAAATAACTTATCATTGTAGTAAATGCTATAAACAATAACATTTGCATTGTTCGCAACATTTTAAATGTTATGGTGCAATCTATGATTGTGATATAAAAATGCAATAGTCATTTCATCATTTTATAGTTTCATGGAATATTGTTATTAATATCATTTTTATTTATTTGTAAATATTTGTTATATGCCAGTTGGTTGTCATGGTAATTCATAACTCATTGTATAACCAAAACTCTACCTCTATGATGCAGTATTACATGTATATTGAAATGATTTACATTCCGTCCAATTATGTTATATTTTGCAATACAAAAATAAATATGTAAATAATTATAAAAAAAAAATGTTTCTTTTTTTTCTTTTTGTTATTGTCTGTTGTTTGATTTTGGTCTATTGCATCTGTTACCGTAATGGAAGGTAGTTTTAGCAAAGACCTACAACCTAGCAATTAATTGGATAATAATATCAGAATATTTTCAAATGGTCACTAGATGTACAAAATATCACGCAAGAATAAAGTAGATTTTGCTTAACCTACCTTTATAAAGCATGTCTTAGTAAATTCTTAACATTTTAGTGTTTGTTTGCTAGATTGTTTGTTTGCTTATCTATTTTTTACGACAAGATATACACATTTTTGTTACATTTTAGTGATCAAGCGAATTCGCGGGCTTTCACTATCCAGTAATGAGCAATTTCTCCGCAAACTGACCCTTCATGATTTCTGAATCAACGTTGAAAAGACTAGACTCAATGTCCAGGAGAAATTATGTCTCGCCGGGGTGGTCGAACTACCGATACCCACCCTATTGACATAAACGGGCAGACAAATGTTTAGTTTGTTGTTTTTTTTGAAGGAACCTGGGTAAAAATATATCCCTTGCTTTCGACAATATCGGTAAATATATCATTGACCGTTCAAGGCTAAATTCAAACTTAGTTTATATGATTAAATCATTATTCACTTGATATGAATCATTATGGCATTTAAGCAGTCTAACAACAATTGGTTGTGACAATATAAACAGTAAAATGTTATCTTTGTAACGCAGAATTAAATATGCCAAAATCAAAGTGAAAACCGATATGATTAGAAAATATATTTATTTTTCGATTCTGAAGATAAGATATGTAGTTACTTTAACCTTTATTCCAGTTAACTCACTGTACACATTTTTAATAGAAAGGTCTCGACTCCAAACTATGATACCATATATAAATGATATATGATAATAATATATATGATATAAACAAAATTATATCAAAATATACATCAACAAATTCACTATTAGCAGCGCCTTTGTTGTTCTTGCTTTTTTGTTGTTGTTGTTGTTGTTGTTTGTTGTTGTTGTTGCTCCCCCTATTATTCTTATCATTTATGATATCATCACAAACAAATTAAAAGTAAAATAATTTTCATTCCCACTATCAATAACAACAAATATACAACACACTTTGTAATTATTAAGCGAGTTAAATTTTATTATTTATATTTCAAAACCAAAAAACTTCGAAGTATAAAAGCTGCGTGCCTTCAGATGAGCCAAAATATTTTCAAGAAAATCAACCTAAAGAAAAATGTACTAAGACTTTAAAAACAGTAAAAGTCTTCACCATTTTTTACTTGTCCTCATTCCTATACGGTGTCTACCCGAGTGTTTTTCCAGCGATCTTATGTAAACAGACATTGTCTGGAGATATGTACCCATGAATGTAGCACTCCCTTGATGGCAAGTAAATATTTACATATATTTTTCTATATCTTTACTAAATAAAACCTTAAGATATATTCTACCCGACATAACAGCTATTATATCGGTTGATTTCTTTTGTGGAAAGAGGGGGCAAGTACAATTTTAATATTAAATCTATGTCGTTAAAATGTCAATTTTTTGCGCACTTGATATATTACATTTTTCCACATTATAATTAAAAGTCGCTGTTTATTAGCTTTAAGTTTGGGTCTTTCTAAATATCATTTAAATCTCAATAAAAAAACCTTTTAACACAAGTATGAAATAATACATGCTATGCGTATAATTATGTTATGGTTTAAAGAATTACTTTTATTCCGTGATTTTATAGCATTTTCCAAGAGGAAAAAAAGATATCAGCAAATCATGCTTTGCGGCTAGCACTTTATTTGATGCACTCAAAATATAGTATATAAGAAATGCTTGGGTGTCAAAATGCAAAAAAGAAATCGTACTGTCTAATGAATCCTGTGATATATCGAGAGTGCATTTTCACTGGGGGAAATGGAATGTGTATGATGTAAAATAAACTAGAGAATTGGGTTCCTTTCCGTCCAAATATGACAAGGCTGACAAAAGCCCCCACCAACCATTAAATTGACAGGGCTGACAAAAGCCCTCACGTTAAAATTGTCAACATGACCTTCGTAAATGACTAAATGACCTTCGTAAATGACTAAATGACCTTCGTAAATGACTAAATGAGGTGTTTAATTAGTAAATGGAAACAATAATGAAGTCAATCCAGATTCCGAGAAAGTTTGGTGCGTTCGTGGTACTTACAATGCTAAAGTGCTCGCCAATTATTTTCTCAGGGGAAAGAACTCTTGACAAAATAAAAATGATTATATTAAGAGTTGTCTTTTCTAACCGGGAATGACAAGCTTATATAGGCCCCGTAACATTTATTATTTGCGTGGGATTAAAAAAAACAATACAATAGACGGATTAATTTTTTTCTTTTATGACTTTTTTTAGTACGAGTACGTCATTATTTTTAATCGGATAAAATGTAGAACCCTCTCATTATTATACAAAAATATTTGAAGAATTTACGTGAATTAAAACCTCGGTTTGAAAAATCAGATATTCAAGCATTTTAGCTGGACGGAAAAAACAATCCCCAGAAACATCCGATGTATCGGTTCCAAACTAGAATTTGCGGGCTATCAAAAAAACTAAAATGATAAGAAATTATGGCAAAAAAAAAACAAACAAACACCTGTACTTGTTTTCTCAAGATTAAGTCTCACACAGATCAAAAAATCTCACGTAGTATAGGCACCATTAACACTAATAGCTTAAGTAAGTTTGGTTGACAACTAAGCTCTACTCATTTTTGAAACCCTCTGATTCAAGTCCGATTTAATTTATTGATTTTATTTTATTTTTAATCTGTTCTTTCTTTTTATGATCGAGCAGGCAACTATGTATTCATGCTTGCGTGAATTACGCCACCCTTCCAAATGATTTATAATGATTGTCTGACCAATTTTTCAATCATAGTTTTTCTGAAATTAACTTCACTTTCCGTTGAATGTAAAATAAATACGAAAGAACTTTGCTGGGATGTTCTTTTTTCAAAATCGCTATTGGCAGAAGAAGTTCTGTCCGAAAGAGGTTAACAACGGTTTCTTTGATGTAAATAAGCATAGAGAAGAAAGGTAACGCATCAGTACTTATTGAAAGTACTGGCAGTATCGGCCGAGGAGTTGTCTCCCTTTTCAATATGAATTCACACCGGAATGACCACACAGGCATCTCTATGACGTTATGTTTTACAATTTGTAATTGAAATGTTTTATATGTTGTTTTGAATGGATGAGACTTTAATGAAGATTATATATCATGTAATTCGTTACTCGTTTAACAACGGTTACATCCGCTGTTTTTATTAACATCTGCTGTCACATGGTATAGAGCTATTAATTGCGGGATATATGAATAACACGAGCTTTGATTGATTTTTATTTTGGTTTAAACACATATATACATTTACACAATAAAAGCACTTGCACTTTTTTATAATAAAAGTAAAGAAATAAATTTACATAAAAATACTAGTTTGTCACAAATACTTGTATCACAAGAACATAAAATTTACAAATTTAAAAAAAAAAAGTATAAAATTATATCTACTTTGCGACTGACTAGATATTAAAGACGTATGGAACATGTTATAATATCAAGAGTAGTGTGCAATAACCACAGAATGCCCATGAAAGCTCAAAGGCTTAGATATATACATAATATATACAATATATGTACATATACATACAATACAATTTAACAAGCATAAAAACAATTCAAACAATATTGATGATTTTGACAAATTTAAGTTGTCAAAAGTGTACTAAAATAAATAAACTGCATGTATCGAGTTCCAGGACGATCAGTGATCACATGTGCCGCCTAACGATAACCAATTAAGCATTTGTATTGAGGGGTGATTGACCACTTTTTTCCTAAATGTCGTGGCAACTTTGAAGCATGTAGTAGTTACTGTATAGGCCAAATATTATGCAAGGGCATAACTCAGCTAAAAATAAACTGAACCGAAAACCCGTGTTATATGCGCAAGTACTTGAACTACCGATCAATCCTGTAAAGTTTCATTCAAATTGCAATACTGGTATACGAGCAATAGTGCAAACAAAAATCGTTCATGGGCCATAACTCTAACAAAAATCATTGAACTTGAAAATGCAGACGTTATGCACAACTAAACTTGGTACTGGTCATTGCTGTAAAGTTTTGATGAAATTGCACAAGTAGTTCTAGAAGTGTTGCCGGGACAAGTTTTTTGACGAACGGACAGACAGACAAACGTTGGCGAAGTTATCCCTGTATGTCGCCACTACTCTGTAGGAGGCGACACAAAAAGAGAGAAAAAGACCCAAAGTCTCGTCGAGCTGATCTTAATGATACTTTTTACTTACTTAGGAATTAGTGGTAAATTCATGGTCATTTCATTATAAATCTTTTTTCAATATTTGTAAGGATTTTGTGTGCAAGATAATCAAAAGTTAAATGTTTTTTTATTGGACATTAAAGTTATTTAATTGACAAGCCCTTAAAACAACATATATTCAAATTATTATCTTAAAGCGCGAAACGGTCCACTACTTTATTTAGAGATAACCGATATGATTGAATTAGCCTATAGTTCACATGTTGTTTAGGTATTTAGTATTAGACCACCAATATCACTGGCAAAACATTTATGTAAAAAAGAATTCAAAACAGTCGTAGTAAAATGTACATTATGTACGATTTTTAATTAAAAATGTTTTAATTTTATAACACAGTAGCTATTTACCCCGTTAGATAAGAATTAGATTTATAAAAGTGCGCAATAAGAATAGTTTTAATACATATTGATAACAAAGATGATGATGTTGTTGTTGTTGTTGTTGTCGTCGTCGTCGTCGTCGTCGTCGTCGTCGTCGTCGTCGTCGTCGTCGTCGTCGTCGTCGTCGTCGTCGTTGATGATGATGGTGATGATGATGGTGATTATTATTATTATTATTATTATTATTATTACTATTATTATTATTATTATGATTTTGATGGTGATGATGATGATGATGATGGCGATGATGATGATGATGATGATTATTATTATTATTATTATTATTATTATTATTATTATTATTATGATGATGATGATGATTATTATTATTATTATTATCATTATCATTATTATGATGATGATAATGATGATGATGATGATGATGATTCGAGCACTAGCCTGCAACCATATTTCCTCACCGTTACCCCGCATTTAAAATTTCAGTATATTGATATAAGCAAAATAAGTTTTGTTGAAAGAAAACCTTTTAATTCAAAAGAAATTAAAAGTATGTATTTACCTATCTACCTACCTATCTTTAAAGTTCTGCCATAAGTACTTTTCCGCCTTTAATAAGGATAGGTTTGATTATTACCTATTATAATACAAGTAACATGATTATTACCTATTATAATACAAGTAACATTGAAGTGGACCGCTATATACATGTAATAGATCTAGGTTAAGTATACATAAAGCAATATATATATTTATTTCTTTTTTGACCTTGTAACTTTTATTTTACGATAATCGACACATTTTTTAATCCGTCATTTTTGGATTATTTTTTTGTGTGTGTTTTTTTCTTTTTTTTGGATTATCAGATTTAAGTTGGTATGTGATTTACTAGACCGCTTTTAACAAAGGAGCCGGTAGGTAAAAATTAGATCAAAATAGAAAAGTAAATCGGATTGACCATGGCCTTGTAATAAAAAGAAAGTAAATGACAGATTTCACCGGAAAAGTTTTGCGTCTTTTTTCTTGATTATATGAGCCGCGTCACGACAAAACCAACACAGTGCGTTTGCGACCAGCATGGATCCAGACCAGCCTGCGCATCTGCGCTGTCTGATCAGGATCCATGCTGTTCGCTTACAACTCTATAACAATTAGAGAAACTGATAGCGAACAGCATGGATCCTGATCAGACTGCGCGGATGCGCATGCTGGTCTGGATCCATGCTGGTCGCAAACCCATTATGTTGGTTTTGTCGTGACGCAGCTCATATCTCGATTCAGAAATCATTATTTCTTTAAGATGAATGTTCACTTGAATTTCATTTGGTTGCGCCTTTCCAATCTCGAATCATAATCGCTTTAAAAAAATATAACAAAATAAGAGCATAGAACTGGTTAAAAATGCGTAAGCCGTGACTTTTTTCTCGAAACAAAATAATTAAGTTCATCTTACTTTGAAATTCTATAAAATGATTTTTTGCAGTATAAAAATAGTCATTCGATAGTCTACATAACCCAGACATCAACCTTGTCCGTAATTATCCGTGCAAATGCTTGTCAAATAATTTTAAAGCTGCATGCCTCCAGATTAGCCAAAAATATTGCAAGAATATCAAACTTGAGAAAATTGTACTAAGATTTAAAGAATAGTAAGAAGTGACTTATTACATTTTATTTGCTATTAATGACTGATTTTGCAATTTCGTCACCTTACTTCTACTGCGTTACTAACGTTAAAAGGGCTATCTATTTTATGCATATTTAAAATGATCCCTTTCTGCTAATTTACGTGGATTTTAAGCTCTGTTTGCAATGTTTAAATTACTTTCTTTGTTTACTCCATAACATTTTACTTTTAAATCCTTTTTATCAATTCATGAAAATTAGCATGACTCTGGAGGCATGATGCTTTAAGGTGTCCTTTACCAGAATTGTTGTATGAAGATGTATGTACAGGAAAAAAGATTTAAGTCCACACAACTGTCATGTTTCTCTTTTTTAAACTGGCTGTTTAAAGGCAAGACTTTTTAATTTGCTTCTACTATTCCCATCCCAAAATCACGTTCAGCTCACATTTCTACACTATTTTTTTTATAAATTTTACCATCTACGTGTATAGATTCGGATGTTCGTGAAGTTGGCAGCCCAGCTGCCTGAAGTTGGCAGCCTAGCAGCCTTAAGTTGGCAGCCCAGCTACCTGAAGTTGGCAGTCTTTCAGTCTGAAGTTGGCAGCCCAGCTGCCTGAAGTTGGCAGCCCAGCTGCCTGAAGTTGGCAGTCTTGTAGCCTGAAGTTGGAAGCCCACCTGCCTGAAGTTGGCAGTCTTGCAGCCTGAAGTTGGCAGCCCAGCTGCCTGAAGTTGGCAGTCTTGTAGCCTGAAGTTGGCAGCCCAGCTGCCTGAAGTTGGCAGTCTTGCAGCCTGAAGTTGGCAGCCCAGCTGCCTGAAGTTGGCAGTCTTGCAGCCTGAAGTTGGCAGCCCAGCTGCCTGAAGTTGGCAGTCTTGCAGCCTGAAATTGGCAGCCCAGCTGCCTGAAGTTGGCAGCCCAGCAGCCTTAAGAAAACGAATAATATTACAAAACGTGAAATCGGTCGGAAATGCATTATAAGCACTTCCTGAGATTATTGCACGCTTATTAACAAATATCATGATCTTTATATTTTAAGCTAAACTTTATTATGTTTTCATTCTGACGCTGCGGTCAATGTTTCATCGTTCGCCCTCTATATGTTTTACATGTTATTGTGTATGACATTAGAGCTTGCCAAGTTTGAGACATAAGATGAGGGGTCATTCGGTGCTGAGCAAGGCGGTTATTTTCCGCAAACTTACATGGGTTGGGTATTGCATCACCCCAGTCAGAAGTTCCGTTCAATTTGATAAACTCTGCACCATGAATTGTACCGGCAAGTATTCCTGTTATGAAAACATCCTCTATGTGTAAATAAGGAAAATTCTGAGCCGAATGGACTATTTTTTGCACAAGATTTTGCGTTAGAGTGTAAGAGGTCCCCTGTGCGTACCGTGGGTAGTGATTCATCGGGTACTCTTCATGACTCACGCCCCAGCGTCCTTCTCTGAATACATTAAAATGTTCGGATGTGTCAAATATTTTCCCGTAAATTGACCCGTTTTCAGATGGGTTGTGGCTTTTTAACTGCGCTAATAAATTGCTAACATTCACTAGAACATCGTCGTCTGCTTTTAGAATATACGTCACATGTTTACAGTACAAATTAATCCATTTGAATGCATGCAATAGCTTTGCCGTAAGGTTGTAGTACGTATCTTGTATATCTATTTGTAATATGTCTTTATATTTCATATATTCATACAAAATATTTCGTTCAATAGTTTGGTTGCCACTCGTCCCTATCAAAAATAACGTCCGTACTACAACGTCAACTTTTTGCCCGAGCACTTCCGAAACTCTGTCACGTGATATCGATGCGTAAGTTGCCCGGATCACCTCTCGAACATGACTATTTTGTATCCTAGATGGAACAATTATTAAAAGGTATGGGTTATTAATACGACAAAGATACTCGTTTGGGATCAAGAAAGTGCTATTTATAGTAACCTTTATTTTATGAGATGACGTATTGAAGTATTGTCTCCGATTGAGTTCTTCCTCAGACGGTGACCGGAAAGACTTAGAAATAAAAACCAAAATGACGAAACAGATCAAAATCGTTACAAGAGGCAGGATTCTTAAATAACGCTTCACACATCCGTAGGCATTATGTCCTTTTAAATTTAAACATATCAGAAACACAGCTTTTTTAAACCTATACTCAGTATGGACGCCTTTTGCAGGTATAGCGTTAAAATTTATATCCCGTTCCATCTTGAATACTGAACAATAAAAAAGTTCAATTTGACACTATTGCTTAACACTGTCGGCCGTCTGCTTAAGTTTGAATTAGGAGCAATTATGTTTCAGTTATCGACCTTTTATTAAGCTGAATCAATTTATTAAGCAATTCTATATCCATCTTTTTCATGTTGTTGGTGGTGGTGGTGGTTTTGTTGTAACAAGAGTCACTTCCAAAGTCTGAATAATATTGGCAGTTGAACAATTTACGGTGTTCCACAGCAGTGACAGAATATGATAGATTGTGGAAGAGTTTAGGGTGTTCCACTTGTCACGGTTTGAGTAATATCGGAAGCTGGAAAGTTTAGGGTGTTCCACATATCACTGTCAGTATAATATTATTGTTGAACAGTTTAGGATGTTCCACGTGTCACGACCGGACCGTGCCACGATAGTGGCAGAAAGACAGTATAGGATGTTCCACGTGTCATGATCAGAATTATAGCAGCGCTATGCAGAGTTACGGGTGTTCCGCATGTCACGGCTTTTGTTGTTTATTTAGTAGTCCATCGCATAACTGGAATCTGTTAAATAAAAAATATATTAATTATTCTTGCATAAGAATTACATGTTCGGGTGTCTGTCATCAAAGGCAGTTTAGATATGAAACAAAAAGGTTTAATGCGGACTATAGACTATAGACTACTAAAACAATCGTTTGTTGTTTGATATAGGTATATTATAAATTTTGTAATTCGTGAAATATTAACGAATTTATTGCCAGATTAACCGAAACCATCATATTTGGAAAATGTATTTTTGGTTGTTTTTTTTTTTTTTTCTTTTTCTTTTGAAAATTATACAACGAATTATTATACTCAATTTCTTTTTAGAAACAGTTTTGTCCTTAACTATTTTTTATTTTTTATGTATTATTTCTTTTTTCTTTGTTTGTTTGCATGTAATATCAAGTAATAAAAATAAATGTAGATACAGTGATCTTGCGACGAATTTTCACATACAATGCAATCTTTAGTCGATTTGTATCACTACATTGTATGTGTTATTTTCATCAAAAAGTGACATGCTTTGAATTCTAGAATATATGAAAATTATAAGTGGATTGATCTACAATGGATATAATTGAGCCGCGTCACGACGAAACCAACATAATGGGTTTGCGACCAGCATGGATCTAGACCAGCCTGCGCATCCGCGCAGTCTGATCAGGATCCATGCTGTTCGCTTACAAACTCTATTGCAAGTAGAGAAACTGATAGCGAACAGCATGGATCCTGATCAGACTGCGCGAATGCGCAGGCTGGTCTGGATCCATGCTGGTCGCAAACCCATTATGTTGGTTTTGTCGTGACACGGCTCATATTTTCCGTAAGTTTTTCAAATACAATGTATAGATAAAAACAATAGAAATATAACATTTCAGTTTTCTTATAAAATGTTGCCTGAAAAAAAGTAGACATAGTTCTAAGTAATTAAGAATGGACATTTATAATAATAATAATAATAATAATAATAATAATAATAATAATAATAATAATAATAAATTAACAATAATAATAATAGTAATAATAATAATAATTATTATAATAATAATAATAATAATAGTAATAATAATAGTAATAATAATAATAATAATAATAATAATTTGATCAAGAACATTTTATTATCTTCTTTATAGATATATGTAATATCGGACAATGGATCTCACAATTGCCACCAACTTCCACTCGTATATAATTATTTTGTGGTTTGTAGTTATGTCGGAACTAAATACTTTCAATGTAATAATTCTCTATATAACAAAAGAGTCCAATTCGCTTAAAAGGCATGTATATTGTTAATATACTATGCAAATAGCCCTTAACAAAGTTCAAAAATAGTTCATGTTTTTATGTTTTTATCTAAAGATTGTTCATACAAACCGTGTCGGACCGTATTTGGTACAAAAACGAATATGGTACAAATTTGTACCATATTCGGCCGAATATGGTACAACTGTCTAATTGTACCATATACGTATCTGCAGTTTTGGGGTAAAATGCCTGACCAAATATGGTACAAACTTGTACCATATTCGGATGAAAAATGTACCACATTCGTTCCGAATATGGTACACACTCATCATCGTCATCATCATCATCATCATCATCGTTATCTCATCATCATCACCATCATCATCATTATCATTATCATCATCATCATCATCATCATCATCATCACCATCATCATCACCATCATCATCATCATCATCATAACTACAATTTGCATCAACGTCATCAATACCATCATGAAAATAATCATCATCGTCATCTCATCATCATCATCATCATCATCATCATCATCATACCCTTACAAGTTCACACTCTATGAACATAACCAAAATGCGATAATCCTCAAACTTTTACAGAGTTACCTGGAGCAAGCACGTCTCTAGTCTTAGAGTACTAGTACTTAGTAACCAGTACTAAGCAGATACATTCGCCAGTAATTGACAACTGCCCTACTTGAAACAGCGGTAGGGGAAGAATGGCCGTAGAAATCATTTCGTGACCAATCTCCACGAAAGTATCTGGCCCGCCCGGGAATCGAACCCAGGCCGCCTGCGTGCCAATCTGACGCGCAACCGACTGAGCTAGCCGGCGAAACAGTTACACAACCAGCAAAATCCATGTAAAGTGTGGTTAGGTTAGCTGTTTCTGTTACTGCTAGTTACGACGACGACGACGACGACGACGACGACGAACGATGATGATGATGATGATGATGATGATGATGATACTTTGTCACTTCCAATATTAGGTTAATACAATGTATTTGAGTTTGAAAAAAAGTTTACACAACGGCAGACTATTTCATTTATTAAGAAATACATAATTATGTACCATATACGTAGGCCATTTTCATTTATGAGTTTTTTTTGGTATGTACCAAATACGTTTTGGCGAGCATAGAAAAACTTATTCCAACCGAATATGGTACAATGTTTGTACCATATTCGGTCGAAAATTGTACCATATTCGGTCCGAATATGGTACATTTGTACCATATTCGACCGAATATGGTACATTTGTACCATATTCGTTTTTGTACCAAATACGGTCCAACAAACCGCATATCTGTCATTTTTATCACGTCCTTATATTTATTTCTGTTAATAAAATGCATGCCTGATAAATTTAGCTAAAGCATGCACCTTCAGCTCTATTACATACCTCATCATCAATACATATTGAAATGAAATTAAGAGAATAGAATATTTTTACCTCTTACTAGTTTGAAAATATTTAACTACGAATCGAATAAAACTTTTTAGATATTAAAGTTTTAAATTACTAGGTGTCTGATAAAGCTGAGGGTGAAACTAAATTTATCAGGCATGTACTTTACCAACAGAAATTAATGTAATGAAAAGATAAAAGGGAAATTTTCGATAGTGATAGAATGTATAATAAAATGTTCCCTTATAAAATATTAGCAGATAAAGCGACTTTGCGCATGCGCTTCTCGCGCAAGTCAAATACATGCTGATGTGGAATTAATTTTTTATTTTACTTTATTACTTTTACTTTTATTATTATTATTGTTATTATTATTATTATTATTATTATTATTATTATTATTATTATTATTATTATTATTATTAACATCATCATCATCATCATCATCACCACAACAACAACAACAACAACAACATCATCATCATCATCAACAACAACAACAAAAACAACAACAACATCATCATCATCATCATTATTATTATCATTATTTACACATCGTTCTGAAAAACAAAAAAGTTCAGTATAACGCACTGAATTCATTTCTTTTATATAAAAAATTATCTAGGAATAATAAGGAAAAAACAACATTAAAATCATAAAAATCGCTGTTTTTCAAAAATAAAATAAAAATCATCTTTTGTTATCTTTATATAAAGCAAAGGATTACCTTTCAATTCATGCATAATATTTATATTAGACAGAATTTTTATTATTTATCACATCGATTGTTTTGTATCCTTTGAAACTTGTTATATTATCTGTTGTTGAAGCAGGAGTAATCACTTTTTAAATAACATTTTGATCAAAGCCGCAAGCCAATCATTTTTAAGAAAGCACGGCCAATTTAAGCCTCATATACTTAGCCCCAAAATTATGCTTTCCTTAACAAAAAAGTTTCTAATAATGTCTACAGCTAAGTCAACGGCTTGTATAGTCTTCTGTTAAGTGTTCTATAAAAGTAAAGCTTACTTAAAATATTACATAACAATTGTAAGAACGGCCTTGTGGTGAATTTTAATCTAATTCCTGTTTTGAAACTAGGTATATCTATTATGATAAAAGATCAAAACCGAAGTATTTAAAACGAAGTTAAACGCCAAAAAAAATTGTATAATCTATGTACGCCTACATTTTATTAAGCTCCGTGGCTGTTATTTAACTTTGTAAAGTAGATTTAAAATGTGGAATATATTTGATAATAGCGGCCTGATTTTCAACCCATAAAAGAGTGGAATGTCGTGACTAACGGGATTGGTAAAAACTGTAGTTTTGCTCTACACGCTTAAATATCTATCAAAGAAGCTCCACAGAAATATAAAAAGCCGAAAACGTAAAAAATGTGAAATTCTTATATAGATCTAGTAATGAGCTAGAAATTGGAAAAATCTGCAAAATGTAGTAAAGAAATATATATTCAGAAGTGAATTGAATAACAATTTTTATGCAATTTTTTGGCCAAATTTGAGTGAGTGAAAAGCGTTGCAACACTTACCATTTTTTGGTGTCATCTTGAACAATAAAAATGATTATTCTTGAAGAACGGGCTTAGGAAATGATCTGAAAATTTGCATGCACGTTATTAGTTTAGACCTACATCAAATGGTACAAAAATCTTGTAAAAAAAGTTCGAAGTTCCGTCAAGTAAAAAAACAACCTAAGATCTTATACTTAATTTATTGAACGAGTTTGATAATATCGTTTTCTTCAACGAGTTCAATAAACTTAGTTTTGAATCTACACGAATATAATATTTCATTGATCAAATATCAAAAATAAGAATGTCTAACAGTAAAAAAAGATACATCATTTTTCATTTTTTAATTTTCGTTAAAAGAATTAAATTTAAATTATGTAAAAAAAAAACTAAATGAACAAATAAATATTTTTTAAAAAGAAATAACAAGCTAAATTCATTCATTCATTCATTCATTCGAAAGAAAATAAGGAGATCAGTTATTACTAAAAGAAAATATGTGTAGCCTTATTTAAGCTGATAGAATGTAAGTAGTTGCACGTAATTTTCGTGCTAAACGTGGATCTTGCGTATCAATAAACATTAGTGTCAATGTATGCGATGACATTAAAAGTACACAAACAGTTCCTCGGGATTCGAACATAATCAGATAATAATAGCAGTTCATACATTCATTTGTATTAATTATGAAAAAAGGGAAACTGGATTTACTATTGTACATTTGTACATAAATATGTATCTTATTCAATAAACTGAAGAGTATCCGAGTATGATTTCAAGCTTCTGATTTTAGACATCTCTTGTGATAATCTGACGATCAAAAACTGGACCAGGAAAAGACAGGACAAAGGAAAACATGGCACAAGAAGTAAAAAGGTAGTGTAAACAGTTTTGTTTGCTTTTTTGTTGTTGTTATTGTTGCTGAGGTGTTATTGTTGTTGGTGGCGGTGAGGGTTGCAGTGGTATTTAATAACGGTTTTTTTCCGTAGCTTTGAAACATTTTGTCTAATACTTCGTAATAGAGTAAGAAAAAAGAACACGTTGATCGCGATTCCTGTAACACAAATTGTATATGGTTTTATATCATAAATATGATGCTCAAATCAAGTAAATAAAGGGAGGTAATAAACATTTATTTTCTATAAAGTCTAAGTCAAATTTTTCAATAAGAAATGAATGCATATAATTTAATGATTCCATATTATATTTACAAATATGTGTAGTACATATTCTTCGATGTTTAAAAATTGTGTTATAAGCATAATTATATACGCATATTATATAATTTCACTTAAGAGTGGTATGCAACCTCAATTACAACATACAGGATCTTAAACGTTTGAAGAATTTGAAACAGTTTGGATCACAAAAGAAAACAAAAGGAGCAAAATGTATACAAAAGAAACACACACCCTTCAAATGCAACACCAGGGAAATTATCTGTGCATTGTTAAACTGACTGGAAAAAACAACAACAAACCAATTATAACAAAATTTGTTAATATTACTTAATATTTCAACACTTTAACGATTGCTGTTCCTGACGCTGCTGTTATTATACAGTTTTGTTGCCAGTAACGGATCTTTTATATAATATAGAGATTCCTTGAATACGAGAACTTTTATTATTATTGGTCTGCAATAGAATTTTCTGCAAGTTTGTTAAACTCCGTAAGTAATGAAACTCGTCAACTATGTGACAACGGCGATGTTCCTTAAATAATTGTCTCGTAGCACTCTGATTCATTTGCTTGCCAACAAGCATTTAAATGTCTAAAACTGTAAAATATGAATGTATCGTTCAAAATCGTATAAGGCTTTAAAGACTACAATTTCTATACAAAATAACTGAGGTATATGAGCAATTTATCAATTATTAGTCGGTCATTCCGGATAATTACATCATATGGGTCAATTGACATCAACTACGGTTATATTGTTCCGATAAAATAAGTGTTAAAGCAGTTAGATATTTACTTATCTTAATATTTACCATATTGATATACATGTATATAATGTTTGCATTCATACCACTTCTGTTCACACTATTTTCGTACACTTTTGTACTCAATATTTTCGTACCAAATTAGAAACAATTTATTTGTTTTCTTTGGTAATTCATCTTTTTAATATTGAAAATAAATAAAATGACTTACATTATGTTAAATTGTCGTATTTAGTTGATTGAATTTGATAATAACTTGAAGATTTCACTTAAGTGAAGTAAGATTGGTGAAGTTTTAAAACCTTACGTACAAATTTTGGGCCACATTCGAATCGTTTTCAGTAATCGACATATTTACCTATTAACCTTGAAATGCTCTTGAATTTGTTGCACATTGTGTCCCCCCATTGTACTAATTTAAGTAGAATGCTTGTTGAATAGAACCAACAGAAACCACGCTTCCATTTTTCTTTTCTTTTGAATTATGTTTGCCATAGGATTTACACCAGGTCGGGTTGTAATCTAACCACCTACTTATTCATTTGATTGTGTATTTTAGCTTACCGCTTACAACACTTTTAGTGCTTTGATTATATAACGAACGGGACCATTATTTCTAAATCATAATTATCATTATCCTTTAGGTTTTATATTTGGTTGGGATATTGAATATCAAATAGAGAATGTCCCCTTATGGCATGCAAAAGATCGTAAGGTTAAGGTCATTCTTGCCTTTACAAATAAAATGTTGTTAGGTCAATAACAAAAGAAGGATGTTTGTGATGATCAGAAAGATGACCTACATACGGTGATATACAACATCTTGCGATTTTAATATGGATGTCGACGAATAAAGCTCAAACTTGGCCTGATGCTTTTTGTCTTGATATTAACACTTTTACTTCCCCGATATATATTGTAATAATCTGTTGAAACGTACATGTATATAAAAGGTAAAAATTTATAATACTAGAATCGTAATTAGATTGATAGTCAATCGTAATTGACGCGAACTAATTAAGCATTCTAACATGATTTGAACTATTTCCTTATCAAACAGAATGGGCAAACAAGTGTATGCATTATTACACGAGAAATGCTAACACGTCAATTGACGTTAGATATATGACGTCAATAAACGTCAGGAAAATTACTTATACTCTCAATGAAGTTCAACATCTTTTATTCAATTCCCTTATTTACTAGATTTACCATATTAAAATTGAAATAGATATTAAGTTTTCGATTATTCACGTTTATCGTTCTTTACTTAATGTTTTGCAATAAGGGCCTTCGTGTTTCTACCTGCAAATTTTATAACCGACTGGAATTTTCTAAAACAGCAATCAAAATTGTTCATCTCCTGAATAAAATACAGTTTCGGGTAAATAAACTTGATTTTTTTTTCAATTAACAAAAACCCATAATTTTTCCCTTTGATTTTGGTCAAACTAATTGGATTTGCAGCTTATCTAGCAATTATGTTAAAATCAAAGCCTTTTTTTAAAAATTCATTTCAGTATTTCCCATTTCATTTTTTTAAACATTGTAATAGGTTGATATGTCAATCAAAATAATATCTACTCCTTCATGTAAGCTAATGAAAAAAAATCATCATTGCATATGCTTTGAGATGTGATATGTATATCTTTATAATTATAATATAAATATATAGAGGATATTCAAGTTTTTTCTATCAATACATGATTTATTTTCATCAAGTGGTATGAAAATAAATATTTCATGAGTGGCGGTAGCGACGAGTGAAATATGGTAATTTTCATGCTACAAGATGAAAATAAATCATTTATTTATAGAAAGAACTTAAATTTTTGTTTATTATATACATTTTTCTCCTTTTTGACATTAAAAGTTGAAAGACTTTCCCTGAAATTTTGTGTACTGGGAGAATTTCAAAGAAAGTAGTCTGGCAACACACCACTGAAAATACGGAAAATATGTTTCACTGCAGTGAAAAATAAATTGTATAGTGAAAATACGGAAAATGAAAATAAGCATTTTATTTCATCAATATTTCTCAATATTTCATTTATAAGTATATAATAAATAATAATATACATGTATAATTATATGTAATAGGTATACATATTACATCTCAAAGCATACCTACCAATACTTTTTTCTGTTTATCTACACCATCTGGATATTGGGTCACTTATGTACAAAAGACTGTTGGAGACATTTAAACTTCACGAATTCACGATTTCAGCTTTATATATTCACGATTTCATCTTCACGAATTCACGATTTCAACTTCCCGAATTCATGATTTCATCTTCACGAATTCACGATTTGATTTCAACTTCATCGTGAATTCGTGAAGTTGAAATCGTGAATTCGTGAAGTTGAAATCGTGAATTCTCAATTCATAAAGTGTGTACTAAACTGTTACAGAACATATTAAAAATTAAAAGCTTTTGCAAAATAAAAGTAATATCATTTCGCGGACTTATTAACTATTTGAAATAGGATATTCACGTTTTTTTTTTCTTCTAAAAATACTTGATTTATTTTCATAAAGTAGTATGAAAATAAATATTTCATGAGTGGCGGTAGCCACAAGTGAAATTTGATAATTTTTATGCCATTGTATTTATAGAAAAAAAAAATTTAATTTTATGTTTATTATATACATTTGTCTCTCTTTTTTGTCATCACAATTTGAAAGACTTTCCTTTTAAATTTTGTGTACTGGCAGAATTTTAAAGAAAGTAGTCCTGCAAGACGCCATTGAGAATTCGGAAAATATGTTTCACTGCAGTCAAAAATAATTTTTACAGTGAAAATACAGAAAATGAAAATACGCATTTTATTTCATCAATATTTCTCAATATTTCATATACATAGGAATATAATAAAATTACCTTTCAGAGAATTATCGTTTTTACAACGTAAACAACGGACGACAGGTTAAAAATCATGTCTGGGACATACGATAACCTTATGTTTCAGATCATGTATATAACGAGTAAGATTATAAAAAAAAACTTACACGTTTCATATTATTATTCCCCTATTAAATAGACAAGGCATTTAAGGCGATGATACAATAAAATAAAATCATAACACAATGCTTACACATTACCAGATGTCAAATAAGACGTCAATAAACTTAATGACGTCATGAAAATTAGTTCTCCGTTCAATTTTTAGTTCAACATATTTTTATTAATTATTCGTTTTATTAATCTAAAGCACCTTTGTTTAAATAATAGCGCTAAACGAAATCTTGATACATGTATAATTTATGCCTACACATAATTTTATCATTGCAGGCTAGAAGTATATGTATAATACTTAATGCTGAAATAAACGGTTGTTGTTGTTGTTGTTGTTGTCTCTTAATTATAAGCATATTAAAATAAAATAAAAGAAATAAAATAACCTTGAGTTTTAGTATAGTTATGCACTGTAACACCGCACTTTGGGGTCAAACGCACTTTGGGGTCTAACCCCAAAGTGCGTTAATCTTCGCACCGCACTTTGGGGTTCAACGCACATTGGGGTCAAAATCGAGAAATTGACCCCAAAGTGCGTTAATATGCTACATATCAACATTTTTTTGTTTTTAGTTTTGTATACATATTTTATTTTAGTTTTGCATACATATTTTTGTTCAGTTTTGCAATCATATTTTATTTTTGTTTTTCGTACATATTTTTGTTTTTCATACATATTTAGCCAATCAAAACAGCTTTCAAATCTCATAACAGCCCATAGTTGAGTATAAAACTAGCACAGTGGTTTGGTCACATTTCGGTCCATTTTTGGAATCGGCCCAGTCGTTTTCGGCCTGGCAAGTCTGGTTTCGGCCGACCTTTTCGGCCCATTTTTTATATTATATGTATTTTATATGATTATTGTTTTTTTATTATTATATACTGTTATATTAGTGTCTATTTGGAAAGGG